CACGTGGCGAGGCTAAGCTTTTTAGGACCACGCATTGTAGCATGAGCAAAAAAGATTCGCGAGTATTTCTGGGAATGCTTTCCGAAAGAGGAAATTAAGTGTGGCGTTGTTTACCTTCGTCATTGCCATAGCTCCAGGTTTTGGAGGATGACCAACTAGTCAAACTGTTTGCGTCTTATTCTGATGTGCATTTATCACCGCGTGATGGTAAATCGTCGATTTGAAAAGATGACTATGTTTGATCTAATATTGCTAACGTACTCATTTCATTTACACTACATAACTGATAGATTCTGATGCCAAAAGACCAAGTCTTCAAATTATTTTGTAAGTTACAGCGATTCCTTATCCCGCAATCGGAGGATGAATGCGGCGTTTGGGAGTGAAACTAGTTCTTCATTCTCCCACAGTGGAAGGCATTTGCGACATGTCCGGCTTTCCTGTAGGCAAAGTAATTCTCTGAAGAAGTTCGGATTCGAAATCAAATCTCCATTCTTCTGAAGATTGAGTAGTTGAGGCAGGAGTGGGTACGCATCCCTATAGACGAATGTAGTCTGATAATCCTAAAATCAGGGGTGGTACGGAGCCGAATAGGCATGAAGAGTACGAAGCTAGTGGGTATTTATCTGTTAAGGGGAGCGAAGTTTGGTAATTGACGGCTACAAGTTTACAAAGTCGCGCGATGGTATGTCTGATCGCGTGTTCTGGCGATGCTCGCGTCGGGAGTGCAAAGCTACCGCGGTGACAGTAGGAGGACGAGTAGAGCATGTTCGTATCCTCCATACTCACAAACCGCCAACCCCAGGTGAATTTTTTTCCTCCGCTGCCGCCACCGCCACAACAACGGCAATGACTGAGCCCATCTCCCACCTTGATATGAGCGTGAGATCGAATCCTACTGGCCGGGTTCGACGTAGAAGCCACCACCAACAGCAGCTCCAACAACAGACCATAAAGTCGGTTAATGAAGGGACGGGAAAGAACAGTTGCTCTCATTCCCATGTTGTGGCCACGATCCCCTCAATTGTCGAACGGCACCAGGTGGAACAACAGTCGTCAACCGATCTTGTAGGTGAAGGTCTTTGTAGAATTGGTTTATTAACCTTTCTCTTTCACTTTAGAAGTCCGGGAATGACTGCAAAATTATCCGCGAGAACTGCTTTCAGTCGGTAAATCAAAAACAGCGGCTTCCACCACTCATTTCTCCTGTGAGTCTCAGTCAAGAGGGGTCTCCAAAGTACCCCCATTTCAACGAAATTGACAGTCGGGGTCTTAGTGCTCTTGCTGATGCAGCTGTTCATCAGTCGAAGCGCGATTCACAGAACTCAAGTAAGCGATTTATTCTGTGGAAAGTCTAAAGTTCTTTGCAATCTCAGCCGTCTTGGTGCCTTTTTAATTAGCCCCCGATCCGCCATTTGAAGCACCTGCAGCGTCGCCCTCTCTGTCTCAGACGACTCCCACGACCCACCTCCTCTCACCTCTGATACCCTCCGATAGTGTAACCGCATCCGCAACCACAGTGTCGGGCCAGTTCGTTCTTTTGGGTCCTCGTAACCTCCCCACTCCTCTATTGGTTACTAGTAGTTCTGACGTCCCCTTCCTTCCAACGCCCTCCTATCTGTAGGTTTTGCTGCCCATTTCATCTACCCTTCTGCGTCATTGGACTTCATTAATCATCGATTTAAAGGGGCGCACAATGAGTCAGACGAGGTTGATGTCTGAAGCCTACTTGTTATCGCCCTTTCCATCACAAATGGCTGTGGTCTTGTTACCTTAGAATGCTGGTTAACGCATTCACTACTAGCGCCACATCTGTAACGATGTCGTGTTTCGCGCGGAATCCACACCACAGGTGTAAAAGTTAACCAATTAGTGTTGCGCATGAATGGGCATAGTCTCACTGCTAAAACGATGATCTGGGATGCTTTCAGTATGAGGCAGATTGCACAACATCGAATCGAATGCATATTTTGTGATCGTTTCTCTTGTGGCACTCTGACGGCGGAACTGTACAGGATGACGATGACGGTGGCGGTGAAGATAAATCGCTCAGTCACAAAGTTTCCTGTTTGTCTTCAGTCGCGTCAATACTTTTGAGCTAATATTGTTTTAGGTAATATGAATCCCATGTGTCTTTTTATTTGGTCGTTTTTGGACGCAGGTCCAACTATACACGCCGTTTCTCCGTGTCCGAGATGCCAACTTCTGCAAGGAACAGCCTTCATAAATCTCTCATTCAGCCTGAACTGTCTCAGAATCTCCAGACGACCGTCCCTTCTGTGTCTTACAGCAGCCTAAGTAAGTGAAATGAGGTTACGTGAAGCCTCATCCACATACAAGCACGGTCTTTGTTTCCTCTTGTCCGTATTTGGTGTCATCGTCTCCGTCGTCATCGCCATCACCTTTCTGTCACCCTCCTCCCACTCGCTACTTCAGGTGTCTCGAAATGCGACCACTTACAAATATATTCATCTAGGGAAGAATCAACTCCGAAGTTGTGAAGACGTTAACCTCTTCACTATCAGGCATGAGCTTATAGGCATTTAGTACCGAAGTGTAGAGTTGTTTATGTCTATGCTATGGTAAGCTACAAGAGTCACCAAAATAAAGGCTGAATCTGATAGGATCAAAGGAAGGGCGTAATCAAGTGTAGACTTGAAGAGTTCATCTGTGTTAAACAACCTTCACTTTTCGATAATCTACCTCATTCTTCCGTGCGATTAGTCTGCATGGGTCATCATTGGCGTCGTTTGTGCCTTGAAAGCACCAAGGTTTTGCGAACAGCACTGACATTGCATTTGTAGTGGACTGCACTGCAAAGATTCATTATCTTTATGAAGAGACTATTTCTCAGCATCAAAGCCTGCATTTGGTGGGGTTCAGTCGTTTGCTTGGGTTCCCTCCGAATCTTTCGCCTCAATCGTCGCTCCAATTTTGCCTACGTATAATTCGATATGTTTCCATTACCCAATCGAAGGTAACCTAGGTACTTCATCTGTGGTATCTCTGCAGCTTTAATAACTCACGGTAGGAGC